ATATGTGTGTGTTTGTGAGTGTGCGTATGTAGATAACACACACACACACCAATGCGTTTAAGGCGAGTGGACAAAAGATTAAAAGTTAACATGGTTTCATTCCATGATGGGGGAGGTGTATTCTTGAGGCAACCTATAAATGCAACCATGATGCATATAAAATGAATATGACAGCAACAAAGCACAGGACTACCACACACACACGCTTGCAACTCATCGTGTCACACACATTTATGGCAGACAGACTTCATACTTCCATTAACGTGAATACTTTTGCCACACTTTATTGCTGATGCATGCATAGGTAGGTGGTGGTTAGCTGGCTGGCTGGCGGGTTGGTTACCTTTAACATTTATAGCACATCTACTTTTTTTGTAACTTTTCTTTCCAACAGAAGTGCATTGGAGGTAAAAGTGGGAATATGCTCCCGACTTCTTTTGCAGCGAGGGGAGATGTACACATCCATGCATTTTTTAGCGATAAGAAACGTATTTCGTGTTTAAGGATGTCTTCGCAGCCACTGATTGTGTTCCATAGATGTTGCTTGGCGTTTGTGAAACTTTCTTGCTGGCTTCTTTCGAATATGTTCCGAAGATTGAAACGAATTTCAATTTTGATCACGTTTTCAAGGGGAAGCGAATTGCATTTACTTCCTCAGTTTTCAAACCAAGTACAACAGTGCTACACGAAAAGGTAATAATTGTACTTTCCATAAAAAAGAAAACATTTTCTTTATTATCAATAATATTATCGAAATTGTTACAAATTTAGAGCAATTATTTTTGTGTGTTATCAAGGACATTATAAATCCTTGGAGAAGTTATGGCATTTAAATAACAACAATCAAAAGTTTATTGTAAATAACATTTTCGAAAAAGGACTCCGTTGTGCATAACAGGTGAACAGGGTTCTAGCGAATTTTACACAATAAGCACACGATGACAACACGATTTTAAACAAATGTATATTTTTTGTTCATTATATTTGCACTCATCTGTGTTTTTTCCACCATCTCCCCGTGCATCTCCTTCCGCAATAAGCAATCATCAATTAAATTTTACCAATATTGCCAACAAGCTATACAATGAACTATATTTTGTTTGTGTGTGTGTATGCTATTGTTGTTTACAATAGGCTTAAAGGTTATGTAACTTGTATTTAGTTACAACAACAAATTATTCTAATAACAAATTCGCATGCAACATTGCACTTTGCTTTCCTTGCAATAGCGGCTAACTTATTTTAATTTCCCTCGGGGTCAAAACAAATATTAGAGAGAAAGGACACATTTAACTGCAGTTCCGCTTGAATTGCAGCAATGGAGGAAAGAAAAATAAACAAAAAATATATAGGAAATTTTATTTGAATGTTTTCTCTCTGTTATTGCTTTATATTTGGTTTGCCATTTTGTCTCATTGGTGTGCTAAAAGCCCTATGAAATGGACCATGTAGGTCTCCGGTAGATATCAAAATGTTCAGGGTTGTTCCTACCAATTAATATTTTGATAAAAATACTAAAACTTTACTTTACTTATAAAACGTTTGAAATGTTCTCTACAAAATTATTTTCGGAACTGTTTCCAGTTATAGGTTTTCAATTAAATTAAATAACACTTTAGAGATACCTTAAGAGTGCTTGTATTTATACATAACATTGCTCCGGCTCACTTCAGTTACCGTTTTGTGGAACACATGATTTCGTGGGATATTTATAATATATCTCTCGAAGAGACTAGTATATCTGCTAATAACCTGATTTAGATCACATTTTTGATGGTTACGCTAGGGACTCCAGACGTTGTAGCAACAAAAATACACAAACTAATTTAACGACCAATTTCTGTTTACATTTTTTTTTTCAAATTTAGGAAGGTGGTAGCGCAAATTAGATGCTTTCAAAGTGAATTTGTAGGCAGGTGAATGTTTTTCAAGTTTTCTAGATACGCCTGACTGATTGTTCGGTTATTTCTCTTTTTAGATCATAGTCATGTAGATTATTCGCTGATCTAATATGTTGCCGTTCTCACGACGATATTCTGTCTGACGTGATTATAACATAAATTTGTTCAACAATTTGACGTTGTTGACGATATAAAAGCCCTTCGATAAAGTTCGCTCTAATTTTAAGGTCGCCAGTATTCCGTTTCGCTTATAGATTGATTATGAGCTTTCGGATATTTGGTTCGAAAGTCTTCCCTCAGATACTCTGAGTTGGACACTTCGAATATTAGTAAAATATTTGCAAAATATATTGAATGAACAAGGGGCAAACTGTCGCCAAAAAAAGTCTTACTTTTGTAGAGTCTACATTCGTTAATAAAACTATCGGCTACAATTTGCTGCAAAAGTAGTCTATCCCACAAAAATTACAAACTTTTCCAATCACCCTATCAACCATTTTGCCACAATTCACAATTCTATCAGACCCAAGTACTAACTTCCCTAAACGTTAAGCATATACGTGTGTGTATTTTCGTTTTGTTTGTTCTTTGTTCTTAGCATTTATTGATTTCGGATTTCGAATCCATTTATCATTAATGTACCAATACACATTTCAATAACTATCGTTTTTTAGTAGTTTGCACATTGCATTGCATTTTTGTTTTGTATTTTTTTCTCCGTATTTTTTGTTTTGTTATACATTTATCGCTCATTCATTTGTAGATGCATTCTATCGTTAGGGCTCATTGAATCGTAGCGATGATATTCTGTTTTACTGCAGACAACAATAAACGTAACAAGAACAAGGCAACATGTAAACAATTATTTAACACCATTTAACAGCGTCAATAGTTAAAAAAGCACGAATTATTATTTGCTATTTTGGGTTAGTTTTAATGCCCATTTTTTTTAGTTTTAGTTACACTTTAACTGAAGATGTGGTCATAACAAAACTTTGATGAAATTCCATAACCCTAAAAGCCTTCAGATCCGTCGCACAAAACAACTAAAAGCTCACTCATCGACAAATTGATTATAAAACGTTCTTAACCTCCGCGCTTAGGTCAAATTCCTATTTTACGGAGATTGGATGTGCCATAACTACAACAATAACAACAATGATGATAGTTACATACCAACATGTATAGGACGAGTGTATGTTCAATAACGATGATGACTAACAAACATAAAAGGTCAATAGAGTTACAACGCCACCAATATTGAATAGAAAGGCAAAGGCACGACCATAGCATGAAATGTTTTATGGTAAACAATTTCTTGTTGTTGTTTTTTCTCATTGCCTTGGGTCAATTGGTCTTAATTGGAAAGTACATATGAGAGGCGGATCAGCATCATTGTATACCATAGATATAGACCCAAATACACAATCATCTTTTGTACATATGAATATGGAAAGATACTTGAAAAAACTGAACAAAATCAAGCAATCGGAATTAAGTTGTATTTTTTTGTATTTGTTTTCATCTGCATCTTTTTCTTGGATAATCGCAGTAGATGGGAACCAACGAATTTATTAAGAACAAATTATGTAATATAATAATATTAAATAAAAAAGAAAAGAAAAAGGTTTTAGATATTTTGAATATCCTATTCATCGTGAGGGGTAAAAAAGATCGATCTGACCAACTTTTTCATTTATTTAAAATAATTCCATTTATTTAAAAGCATTATTCCACCCATTGTTCAGCGTAAAAGTGTCAGTTTGTACAGAAATATTTTCTTGTTTGTTTGTATATAGAAAATTCCCCCGTCCCTTTTATAAAAACGTTTAACAATTCATATTTTTTTAATAATTTTAATTATGAAGCTTTTTTTAATGATGCAAGATTGCTCTTTTTGCTTGGCAAATATAACCTATGCTCATTAAACAATTATTAATTTCATCAGGCTATGTTAAATAATACGTAACTGATACATATATAATATTTATTTTGTAAACATATCAGTTATGCAAAAAAAAACGAATAAAATATAATAAAACATATTAACGAGATCATATTAAGTTATTCTATTCATTCTGGCTTTGAAAGCTAATATTTTGTATTTATAAAATAAATTTGTTGCATGTAATTATCGCGCAATGTATATGGAAAACAAAAAAGGCCCCCGGCAGCTGCTAATCTGTTATGGACAAACATCAATGTTAAAAATATAGTTAACCCTTTTTGGGAGTTTTACAACATATTTTCAATATTAATTTTTTATTGTATCAAGTATTAAGTACGAGTATATATATTTTTTTGTAATATATTGTTCTTCCCCAACAATCAATTTAATAAAGTTCCCCTTGTTGACATTTCGTAATCGGCAACATTGCCTGGCACTCCTTTTACCTGTCAGTCATAACAATTCAACATCAAATACTCATAACGCCAATAAAGTCCTCATTGTAGGGAAACTTTATTATCTGTTGTTGCAGTTGCTGCGGCCCGGCACTATTTTTTATGACCATAGTTACATGTTTTATGAGTGCATCTCTTTTTATTACTGAATATTATAACGGGACAGACGCTCGCTGGTCTGTTGGTTGGTCGGTCGGTCGGTCGGTCAATTGTAAACTAACGAGTTTATTACTCTTAGCGTACATCAATTTTAAAATGGCTTTTCAATTGCACTTACCATGGGCCAATAGACATGACATTCTACAGCAATAGTTTCAGGCTCGGAATGAGAGCATAGCTGCAGTCAATATATTGCACAACAAACACCAGCGACTGTTGTTGCGACAACGCATCTCCACTTCGAGGCAAGTCGGAGTCGCATGCAATTGCTTTAAATTAAAGTAAATTAATATTTATAGAATAAGCGTAGGGTGGTGGCGATGGTGCGTTTTTGCTTGCTCTGGTATGCTATGAGCTTTGTGATTTCTGCAGATTGCAGCAACAATTTCTCTACCCTCAATTGTTGTTGTTGTTGTCGTAGTTTGTATGGCCAGTTAATATTAATAAATTTTATTTATTTGTTGATGTTGTTGCTTTTTGTTTGTTTCTCTTTCACTTGATAATAATTTCACTTTCTTTTTTTCACTTAATGTACTTTTCAGATAACTTGCAGATGTCACCACATTGGTTTTTATTACATTGAAAAAAATATTTATATTTTACATGTAAGTATGGGCAACATCATTCATCACTTGATAAAAGTTTAATTTTAATATAGGAAAAAACCCATAGCATTCATTTATATGCCGACATATGTATACGGATACGTAAAGGATTGTCATAAAATTTACATGCATTTGGCATAAAGGGTGCTCATGAATTGGAGGGACACACAGTAAACAGGTGTATTCTATATTTCAAAATATTTGTTGGAGTGCCCTGACCAAGAACATGGTCAGAATGATAATAGACGTCCGGCTGACTATTGCCAAGAATTAATTAAAATATTTTTGTTACTTTTGATTTTTCATAAATCGCACATGATTCTTGTTAATATAATAGAGTTTTCGAAGATAAAAGACGTCTCAAAATGTCTGTTATTTGACAATTTTGATTCTCAGAGTTAAAATCCTTCATCGCTTTAACCAAAGCTTCATATAGGCCTACAACTCGATCTGAGTTATTTTGCTAATCTTAGTCGCATTTTCCAACAGGTTTGCTAGTTGTTTCAAATAAGAACACACCTTCTATAAAAACCCTTAAATTTGTTATTGTCCGCATTCCAATTTTATAACAAAAAAAATTCGAACCTTTATCCATCTTAAAGTCATGTTTCAATTTTTAAAACGGCTATGGTTTTTATGTCATACCATTTTTGGTGACCCACCAAAATATATAAGTTCCAAGGTTTTACTATCATATGTCTTTCATTCAATACAAATACGATTCGTTGCTCGTTGAACTGCATTAGTTTCTGTTCTAGCCTGCAGGTTATCATTTTTGTCTTCACGACCAAAGTTATTTTGTATTGACACTTTCTATTTAGTTCCTTCTGTAACAAATACCAACACCCTTTGTTATGGATCTCATCCATAAAGGGGTAGTAGATATGTATATTTATATATCTGTGTATGGTTGTGAAATATGTGGACTGTGGCAATGCATCAGCATAACTTTCATTATTAATTTTTCTCCTTTGGCAAAAAGTCATCATAACTTTTTCATCATTTATCACATGTTCCGCTGGTCGGGAACTATCCACCTACACATTCATTTAAATGCTTTGGCATTCGTATTCGGTTATACCGTTTTTTTGTCGCTGCCATTATAACCGTAGTTGTGCCATCCTTAATGGGTGAGGTCCTAAAGCTTGTTCTGTTGCGCAGCTAAAGTTGTAAAAAATGTTTTATCTGCTTGTGTTGGATGTTTGTTTTTCTAGGTGATGGGGTTCGTCGGTTGATTCAGTAAATACATAAATCTAGCCTTATGGCATTTGTCAGCAGTAACAAACGGCAGCAACGGAGTATAGCAGTCAACTTTTTTATAGCGTATTTTCTTTAATTGCTCGAATGCAAATGTGGATGTTCATATTTAGGGCCGAAATATTACCACCTGCCATTTGGCATATGAACTGGGCGCAACACTTGTAATCCTCCGGCAATTTGTCCCCTTAGTATTTATTTATTGCAATAGCAGTAGCAACAACAGTAAAACTACATTGCATCATGTTGTAAGTTGGAATATTTTAACCAAAAAAAACTTACAGACACTCTCATCCCTTGGGGTTTCAAAAAAATGTGAAAAATTAATTTGTTAACGTCCTTGGCATGTATGTGTATATATATTTGTGGATGGTTTATTTCACTTTCTTTCTCCCAATTTGCATTAAAAATTTCATGGCTAAAATGCGATGTACTTGTAAAATTCGGTTTGAAAATTTTGTTCATGTTACCCATCATCCCATGTGGCGACAAATGTTTGATTTGACACCGGTTACAAATTTTTGATTGAATTATGAACTTTATTCGTTTACATTTTTGTTTTTCATGGCACTTTTTGTAGTTGTCAAAAATATGCTGGATTGTTTATTAAATTGTCATATCCAGATTGCTATGATAGCTCAACTAACTATTGGTTTTGTTGTTGTTGTGATCCAGTTGATTCAAATGCATTTTTGGTGACATTTCATCAGAAAATAAATATTTATGGCGGGAGATTAATTGAAACATATCGAGACTATGGGATTTAAATTGAATTTATTTATTTATTTATGTGTGGGTGTATTAAAATCCGGTGAGAAATGGCGAAAAGCTGCTAAAAAAGAATTATCGTAAAAATAGCAAATATTTGAGATATTTGTAGGAGATCCAATAATAGATATAAGCATGAACATTTTTATACAGTATATGAGGCAATGACATTTCGTGCAAGATCCTTACATAAGTAAAAATGGAGTTGCGAATTTTCTCGACATTCATGACATCATTTAGAAGTGAAAATGTTTGTTATTGTGGTATTCAAAGACCAAATTGCCAAAAAACACACACACACAATAGGTCAGTTACTTGTTTGCTTTTAAAATAAAAATATTTACAATAATTATAATATGTATAATAGTTCATTGTATAATGTAATGTTGCCCATTTTGCAATTATTTTCAAATTACACGCACTCACACACTCCATTCATGTAAAGGCCAACACATCTCTGTATAATTATTTTTTGGTATTTTTTTTTTCGCATTTCAAATGCCGCTTTTCATAATAAATAAAAAATTCATATTTCTGGAGTTTAATGTATGCAAATGAAAAATGTAATTTGCTAAATTGTATTTTTTTTTTGCAATGAATTTGTGTCGAACATTGCAGCAGACCAAAGTTCTGTGAATGTTATTGCCATATTACCATATTTAGTTTTTCGTTATGAAATGCAGTTGAAGGTATGTGTCCGTACTACGTTGGTGTTTGGACCAACCAGCAGTGGCAGTATCTAAAATTTTTATGTTCGTCATGGGTTTCAAGAAAACGGAGGCAAACAACATAACATAAAAAATAATAACTGGACATAAATTCAAAAGTGATAACAAGAAAAACACTATTGGGCGCAGGAGAGAATAAACAATTTAAAATGCGCATAATTTGCGTAAATATGTTAGTGGCGCTAGATTGAAATGGTCTCTAACAAATAGTTATGAAACTATGTTGACTTTTATCTTTCCGCCTTTTTTGCACAAACTGTATTTAAAAAGGTGTGCTAAGTAAATTTTGGGTAAATACAAAATCATTGGATGGTGAATGGTTTTGGCATACAATGTCTGATTGGATTAAAGACAACTAGTGAAACATATACGACTGTAATATTTTTTTACGATAAATATGTTTACTAAGGTGTTCTTTATAAAGATTATTTGTATAATGGTGCTTATCTGTGTCATCCACAAAACAGTAAATAAAAACAAAAATGGATTTGCACCAAAATGACAATTAAGGTTCTCTTTTGTGTGTGTGCGATAATTGTACCTAAAGAAACATTTTGCAACAGCCACAGCCTTGGTGTATGTTTACTCTAGGTTTGTTTTTGCTGCTGTTTTAGTTTGGCTTTACAGGATACCCACAACAACAGGCTTCCTTATTGACACACAACATTACATTTAAAAAATGACTAAAGTTTTGATTTCATTTCTAAATTTTTTGCTTGGTTTAGGGTTTTTGGGATTTCTGTTTGTTTTTCTATTTAATCAGAGATTCATATTGCATATTTATATTTAGGTAATATACATATGTGAATAAGTTTACTCTGCAAATGTAGCACATTTGTTGTCAAAATACATACATACATATATTTATTTATGATATTTTAATTACCCTAATCGAAAGTAATGTCAAAGTACTCCTAATTGGTACATTGTTATATTCTGCTTCTTTTCTGTGAATCAATATTTGTTTACTTAATGTGACAAATAGCAATTAAATAACGAATATTGCAATTTTCAGAATGTTTGCGTATTGCAAGATATTACATTACGATAATGTACATTATTGAGGACTGGCCACAAGGTTTGCATGCATGATGCTCACTAGTTTTGTTTAACATATAATTCCATTCCGCATTGGGTTTTTTTATCCAAAGTTCAGTTCAATCCAAATATGCTTATTAATGTATATTTTCCCATGTAAAAATAGATTTGTTTCTGTTTCGCCTATCGCCATAGTATTAGTCACATATTTCGACTTGTTCCGAACTTCTTTTTACCAAAAATATCCTGACTTTTTTCGGTCAGTGTATGCAAATAAAAGTGAATGGATGACAATTTTGAAAATATTTTTTATGTTTATCTTTTTATAATTGTGTGTGTAAAAAATTTGACAGACACCAACAGCCCATGGGACCTATTTTATACCCATAATTCATAAACCAACGATTTTATGCTATTTTGATATTAAATACTGCTAAGAAATGAAATGAATGATTTTTCTTTTTTAATCAGTTATTTTGGATTCATTTTATTTGATTTTTTGATCTACAAAACGCGCTCAAAAATTAATTTGATTGATTCAACTTTTAAAAAATTTGACCGCCAGTAAAAATTCAGTAGGGTGGATCCTATTGAATATTTTTTACTTTTTTCTTGCAGAATCGTAAACAGCGTCTTCGGAACCCTTATATGTCATATTTTGTTTATTTCATATTTATAGGTCGGGATAAACATAATATTCTTAGTGCTTAAAAATAGGTTTACAGAGTCGTAACATACCATAGTTGGGAAACAACGAAGCTCAACGTGTTCTAAGATAACATCTACAATCCTTTGCTCAAAATCCGAGAATGACTCAGATTACTGTATACTATGGATGCTTATAATTCACAATTGCAAACCATACTAAGCAGTCCTTGTCCAGCGCTATTTTTGCTTCCTAAACTAGAACGAAGGCATAGGAGATAGAACCTACATAGTAGGAGAAGCGGATTCAATTCACATACGAGATTAAAAAAGAGATTAAAAAATTCCAGATTCATTTTAATATAACTTGGATGTTGAAGGAAGATATTGGATCTATAATATTTTACGTGGAGACTACGGAGATTTATACTTAGAAATTTTAGTAATTCATCTCAACTCACTTGGGTTGATTGCAACAAAGCGGACTCACATGATACTTTATGGCTTGAGTTTCAACTATATATTTGGGATTAATGCAATAAGCTACTCCACATCACTGTTCAG